TGCTCCGCTGCAATCCTAGTCAATTTTTCTATACACCTAACCATACTATCTTAATAAGACATCACATGGTTTGGTTGGCCACCTCCAACTTACTCTACATGCCTTCAGATGAGGGGAGCTAATTTACGAACCGGAAGTGGATTCGGTATGTGATATGGGAAGACGCTTGGCATTCCTCGAAATTTACATCTACCCTGAGACCTAAAGATATTCGTGGCAATGGGGCGTAGGAGTTGATGTATCGAAATTATATGCTGCGTTGTCATGGCTCTAGTCACGCTGAAGGTGCTGATAAGACCTAGTAGAGGTCGAGATTGCAGTCTACTCTGGATGTGAATCCCTTTTTGGAAGCAAGGTTATGTGCAATTCATTGAAATCGTAAGGTCTACTCATATAATTGTTTTTGAAAATTAATTTGCCAGTCCCCTTATAATCTTAAACCAAATAGGATAAATACATCTCATATATATGATCTATTGGTAATATATAAAACCTGCTTATAAAACGAAAAATAAGATCAGAATGTTTGCTGAAAGTTAGGTGTCCTATGAATATCTGCTCAACATTGGTACTCTTAAGAAAAGGCCATGCAAATACGTCCTCAAGTCTAAATGGCACATAGGCTTGACCAATCAACTGGAACTATATAGCTATTAAAAATTAAGGGATGGTAAGTTTACCATTTCACCATTTTAAGTAAAAAATTTATAAGATTATCCTGCAGGCAAAAAGTCAGTCGTATCTCTCTTACCTTTTTTAGTGAAGTGGGCCAATAATTTATCTTCATACCACAATATTATATTTAATATATATATGCATTCCTGTGTATGATCAGGAAATGTAATAACTATGTTTATAGGTTTGAAGACAAAGATGGTGTAGCCTTTTGTTTATTCGCAATCTCCTTTACCAGTATACTGTTGGTTTGACCTCGTTTTCGCAACTTGGTCGGATCACAAGGAGACCCTGTGGAACATACCTAGTCCTACTTACCTTTGCAATAGTATCCATGATGATTTTAAGAATCGGATCGTTGACTTAGTTTATTCCCAGACTTTTCACCTGCATCGTCAGTGAGAAGCGTCATCCCTTACACCAGGTTACACTTTATCTTGTCACTGATAATTTGTAACTCGGTGCTAAGGCTCGCGCTTCTCACTGACGATGCTGGCGAAGCGCCCGATAATGTACCAAATCTACGGTCTGATGCTGAAGATCATAATGAATACTTGAGGACAGAAGACTCAGGACTAGGCAGGTTTCATAAGGTTTCCCTGTCACTCCGATCAAGTAGTGAAAACGAGAACCAACACTATATATATGCCTAGTTCGCAATCTGTTTGTTTTCAGGATGCCTTCGACAAACTACTCCATGTTGCGTTCTTTTTCTTTGTCATCTATTCTTCAATAATTTGACTTGATTGGATACATTCCCTATTCCTTCAATGAAATCGTATTTTAACTACTCCATCCTTAGCACTGAGAAGCACTATTTTCTGTCGAAAGTTTGTGAGCATTCTACTTTCTTGCTCCGTATAGTTCTCTATCGTCAACTCAATTTGTACTCTCTTTTGTTCTAATAGACTTAAGATTTGCTTACATTTTAGTGAGTTTTATCAGAACTTGGCTACTTTTACTGTCCATTTATATCCTCCGCCGAGCTCCTTGCTTCTTACTCTTTACTGGCGCCTACGCTCGACAATCTCCTTTTAGTCTCAAACGGTCTTTTTTATATTTATCATGGACATTTCTTTAATTTTCTTATATAACTTTTTCATTTATACGTTTACCTAAAAAGAAAGTGGTAATATCTTGATCGGTTCGATTATGTGTTCATGAGCCCATGACTTTACTGAAAAATAGCTCTTGAAAACTTCGGATAAATGCTTGAAAAGATGCTAAAACAAAGCTAGTTAGTAGACTAGTTTGAATGGCGCAGCATGTTATTCTCATATCTTCCATCGAATTTTAATTTTTATTGGGGTTTAAATAGGAACTTGCTCTCGAAACCCTACTCTAATACGAATATAAATAAGAACAGTAAGAAAAATTTCTTCGCAACAATTGTTTCCTATTATGTTGACATTTGCTATTCTAGATAATCGTGTTTTGTTTTAGTAACCTCCTCATGATTCCTTTTGCACATTTACAACAGTTGCCAGCGAGGAGGATCGACGCCAAGAAAAAGAGGAAAAAAAACGGATCCTTTCACGAAAAGTATGCTCACCGATTTTGAAAAGATTGACTTTAATATTAGATGAAAGCAAAGATTTAGCTGGCTTAAAAATATTTACTGGTAGTCTCGAAGCTCTACTTACATATTAAAAATATTATTCATATATTTAGTTTGCCAATTATTTAATTCTCTATTGTATTATATAGTATAATATAATATTATTTTGTATGTATAAATTCTTGTATTAAAAATATATTTTCCCGATTGTATTAACCGAGTAACATACCAACTAAATATATTAAACAAGTTTTTGTCCTTGTTTTCACGACTTGGTCATATTGTTAGGAAGACCTAGAGGAAGGCATCTAGTCCAGAGTCCACAGTATGAATGATGATTTCTAGAGTCGGATCGTAGACGTGGTACATTCCTGGAGGTCTCGCCGGCATCGTAGTTGGCATCGTCAGTGAGCATTGCCAGTCTTAGCACCACACTACAACTCGTCAAAGAGACAAGAGAAACTGATCCTTTGACCAGTTGTCTGCTAAACAATCGTGGTATATCTCATTCCGCCCTGGGCTAATCACCAACCCTATATCCTCATATCACCATTTTTACTTGCTTATTTAAATGTGGTATGGTGTGCCCTTTTGAACGGATTTTATGAGAGCTCTCTACACCCCACGCTGGCTTCCTCACCCCCTTCGCCCTTGTGCTGGGAGTTTTGATTAGTGTATACCCTACTGTTACGCGATCCTCCTTCCATAGACCTTATTAGAGTCTCTCTCTTGCTCTGTAGCATTCGTATGCTATATATTTTTTAAAGTATCTCACTCGACCCCTGCTACCCTATCTGTGCTACACGAGCCTTTATTTTCCACACTCTGCTTCTTGGAGACAAACTTGAGGCTAAAGCCCTCGCGTAATTCTCATGGTCAAACCTTTGTTACATGAACCACGTATATAATCAAACAGGTCTATCCTCAGCCAACTAGCTCTAGTTTCCACTGCGTCTATCTGTTTCTATCCCTAATACCACAACATAAATGTTGTGGTTCTACATTGAACCTAATCAGAACATGTAGAACCACAAAATTTGTGGGTTGACGCACAAAAGACTAGAGCATAAGAAGTCATATACTTGGTATTAGGGATAGAAACAGGATAGATGTGGTGGAGACTAGACCTAGTTGTCTGACAGTAGAGATCTGTTTGATCATATATATGGTCAATGAAGCAAAGGCTTGATCATGATAATTAATCGGAGGCTTTAGCCTCAAGTTAGTGCCCCAGGTGCAGAATGTGGAAAATAACGCTTCGAGTAGTACAGATAGGGTTGCACGGATTGAGTAAAATGATTGAACAAGGGAGGTAGATGGCGGATTTTAAAGAGCAAGAAGGAGACTTTGATGAGGCCTATGGAAGAAGGACGGCGTAACACTAGGGCAAATTCTTATCAAGATTCCCAGCACATAGGTGAGGAAGGGTATGAAAGCCAGCGTGGGGTCTGGAGAATTCTCATAAAATCCGTTCAAAAGTGCACACCATATCACATTTAAATAAGCAAGTACAAAATTGTGATAGTGAAGGGGCCTATTTACAGGGTCAATTTTATATATATATACAGCAAAGGAGGTACCATTATGGTAAAATTAAGTAACAATACTCTGTTGCTAATTCTTCAAACAGTATGTTGATCATAGAATTTTTAATCACATAGAATTAGAGATAACATATTCGAATTCAGGAAACAAAATGTTCAACAGGATTGCCTGACCTTGTTTTCGCAACAATGACGTTCCTCTAGGTCTCTCTAGCAATACCACCAAGTTGCTAAGACAAGGTCAAATAACTTCCATACACCAAAAAAAGACCGCGACAATGCTAAAAGCCATACCTTCATGGTCTTCATATCTTCGATTAAACAATAGAAATTTTTGAGATGTATTCATCCTATTTCGTTTAAGGTGATCAAGGACTGGTATTAGAATTTTCCCACAATAATATGAGTAGAGCTGACGCTTCCATTGAATTTCACATTGCCTTGCTTTCCCAAAAGTTGTTCTCATCCACGGTGGACTGCAGTTTCGACCTCTAATTGGTCTTATCAACACCTCCAGCGGGAGTCGAACTGTGACAGTGCTTGACACGTTAACCACTCAAACACATTGCCACGAGTGCCCTTTGGTCACAGCGCAGATATGAATTTCAAGGAAGGCCAGGCATTTTGCCATATCATATTCTTTGGTGGGATTGTCATTTAAACAAAATAGGGTGAATACATCTCATATTAGTTATTTACTGGTAGTCTCGAAACTCTACTCAAACACGAAAAATAAGTAACGTAGTCGATTATTATAACAAATATACGTTTGCTTAATCGACAATTTCACCAAAGAATATGATATGGCAAAATGCCTGGCCTTCCTTGAAATTCACATCTGCCCCGTGACACAAGGTCACTCGTGGCAATGTGGTCAAGTGGTTAATGTGTTAAGTTTCCATTCTGCACTGTCACGGTTCGACTCCCGCTGGGGGCGTTGATAAGACCAATGCGAGGTTGCAACAACAGTCCACTCTGCATGAGAACAACTTTTGGGAAAGCAAGGCAATGTGAAATTCAATGGAAACGTCAGCTCTACTCATATAATTGTGGGTAAATTCTACCACCATTCCTTGATCACCTTAAACGAAATAGGGTGATTACATCTCATATTACTCATTTACTGGTAGTCTCGAAACTCTACTCAAACACGAAAAATAGACATTTTTATTTGAATGGATTAAAGAGCACACTCAAGGAGACCTTGATGGAGCACACCGCACTACATTAAAAATAAGCACGGTAAAACTTGTGACAGGAAAGGCATGATAGGAGGATATAGTGAATGTAAATAGCCCAGGGCAGAAGTGGAGATACCACAACTGTTTAGCACACATTTGGTCAAAGGATGGGCTTCACTTGTCTCTTTGACGAGTTATTGTATGGTGCTAAGAATGGCGATACTCACTAACGATGCCGGCGGAACGTTTGGGAATGTACCACATCCACGGTTCAACTTTGGAAATGATCATGTACACAATGGACTCCGGACTAGGTGCGTTCCTCTAAATTTTCCTACTAATATGACCATGTTGCGAAAACAAGGTTAAACAACCTCTTTCCATAGGTTTGTTTTACCCAAACGTGTTCTCATCCAGGGTGGACTGTAGTTTCGACCTCGCTCAGTTCTTATCAATACCCCAAGCTGGAGTCGAACTATGAAAATGCACTGTGTAATCTCGACACATTAACCACTATGTTGCATTACCACAAATTCCCTTGGGTCACAGGGCAGATATAAACCAGTCCTTCATCCCTTTATACTAAATAGTAGATGCATCTCATATTATAACTAATTATCACTAATGTTTTGAATCACGAAAGATAAGTAACTACGTTTATCCTTCTGTGATTTAAGAAACAAATAACTTTCTTACAAGACCTCGGCAGATTTTATTTGCCATTTTCACAATCTTTTGAATTTTTTTTTATTTTTAGCTTTCTTTTCGACCTTCAGTGGAGGAGCTGCGTAATCGTCGTATTATCCGATTCAATGATTATGTTGAAGTTAGTGAGGCCGATACCTATGACAGACGTGCTGACAAGCCTTGGACCCGTTTAACCCAACGAGATAAGGTACTGCTTTCTTTTTTATGCAATAAAACGTTGGTATATAACCTTATAATCATTACTTTATGTTTTTTCTCTCATTCATAAATCATTGAAATCATAAATAGTTGCTAACATTATCTTATTAACCAGTATTCTGCTTGCAATTCTATTGTGTTCTATGAAGCGCTGACTTAATTAGACTATGGACAGCTCAACCGATTTGCAGTGGAAGCATACAGCCAAATAAAAAATGCCATGCAATCTAACATCTGTAGCATATAAAATTAATTTCTCAATCACTGATCGCTAGGTAACTACCTGTGCTGCTTGATCCTTACTAAAGTGTCTTATTAATCTGAGGCGATAAATAAGATCCACCTACTTAATTTCGTAATCCTTTATTTATTTTTAAAGGATCTTATTCTTAGTATTCTGAATTTAAGTCTCTATGAATGAGATAGACAAGTAGGGACGA